AACAGTATTGTAGATGTGCGTACCAGAATTTTAGATTGTTCTGCAGTTTGTTTGGGTCTTTTCATACTTTTGTTGGTGTTTAATTAGCTTTGGTTTGATTTGCATTCAGCCTTCGCATTATAAATTGGATTAATTCAGAGTACAGGTGCTTTAACGCTGTCAACTTTTTAAAATCATGGACAAGAGTGTTTTTAGTCTGCAGTGTAATTGAGTTTGGACCCTGTATTTTAGAATTGCTCATTATTTTCCTTCATGTTATTAACATCAAGAGGAAAATATATTTGTATACTGTTATCTACCTAGCTTACACAAAACAACCCAAAGCTTTTTTTCCCCCACTCTGCATCCATGTCCTGTTTCATGGTCGTGGTCGTGTCATCAAACATTGTACTAAACGGAGCCGCTGCCGCCTCGCTGAAGCACATACACACAGAGCGAGACTTTGTGTATTGTGCTGCATGTAAATTGTTCCTCGTGTGTACGCTTCATGGCCGGTGATAATATAAAACTTATTTGGGTTAAAAAAAAAAAAAAAAGAAGAGAAACATCACATTTTAAAAATCAGAATTGTGTAATATAACATACTCTGCCCTAAAACTGGATAATAAATTCATGACATTTTGCCATTTATCAAATTCAGTATAAAACGTTGTTTTTAGATAAATTAGATAAATGATGCATTTAAAAAAATAAAAATAAAATGTTTTTCTTTCTCCTGCTTCACTATTAGGAGACAGCAAAGAGGTTGCCAGGAAATTCAATCGAGGCATATCCAAAAGAGACCGAGTCTCTTGAAGCCTCAGTACAAACAAGAGCGAATGGGGAAAAAAGAATTTGGTCAATTTTCTGACCTGTTGTACTTCAATATAGATAAATAGTTGCATTCAGTCACAGCAGTAGCAATTTATCTGGTTTTATAATTGTATCAAGGATTTGCAGTGTTCATACACTGTTATTTAAATTCAACGAGGGACATGGTTGAACTCAGAAAATGAAATTCTGGTTCTCTTGTACTTATCATCCTGATATGTTGGTGAAGGATTTTTCCTGAACTTACAATTTCAAATCACTTCCACACATCTCTGCCTTATTAAATACAGATGCACACAAATTCACTAGTAGGTACAGTAGACGGAAGATAGAAATAATGGGCATTAGGTCTGAAAGTAAAATAGTGGCATTTGATTAGCATTACATTGTATGCTGATTCATGGAGAATGGCTGTAGAGTAACGGTGGTGGAGGCTTAATTAGAGTGCTTGCAGATGTGGCACATTGCAGTGACAAGCAGTAGAAATGTGTGTAAGATATAGAAACCCTTCTAACCTCTCGTTAAACCCTCTCTTCCATTCTAACAGTTTGCCCTCTAATTAAGCTCCAGAAGATGATTTTCTTTGTTTTAACTGTTCACATGCAATTTTGCTAATTGCAACCATGGAAAATGACAGTATTGTCCAAAATCATGATCTGTGGTATCGTCTGAACATAATATGTCAAAAAGAAGCCTCAGAAATGATAAACTATAAATATGTGGAAAAGTTGCACTTTTTGTGAATGCCGGTTAGGAACACGTCAAACTCACAATACATTTAGTCTTTTTAAACGTTTCAATTAGAAGTGTTTATTATTTCTAGAATTAAATTAGTTGAAGATGATATTTCAATTCAGAATCAGATTTTAAAATGTCTCCTGAAATCTTATCCACCATGGTTATTTTTTAACAAATCTACAAGCCATGGTGCAAATTGAATAAAGTCTTAATTTTTGTGGCGCTGTGGTTATTGCGTCTGAAGGAATATAACAAGGCTTTACACATATGAAGCTTGAGACCTCATTTAACCTAGATGGTACAAACATTTGGCAGGGCCTGAGTGTACCTGCTCTGAGTTGCGGTTCTGCCTGTAATAGATAGATGGCACTGTATCCAAGGTAGAGCAAAGGGCCAGAGACTTCTCTCTACCATCTTTCAGGGTCTTACTCTCATTATCCATCCGAAAATTAACCTGTCAATTTATCAATCAACACCATCTTGAGTTTTCTGCCTCCTGTTTGGCGACTAGCATTGCAACGACGCCGGCACACTGATAACCGGGAGGAATGTGTTTGTTAGTGTAGTGAATGAGTGCATTATCACTTAAATGACTGCTATGAATCACAATTGCTGCCAGGCGGTTGATAAGAGGTAAATACACAAGCATTTTGATTTGAAAGTATATATCTGTTTATGTATTCTTTTATGTGTCAAGAAATAAGGTCAGCGCCAGGCGCACAGTATTTTGGCTTTGTCGCACACCGTTTTCTTTAAATCCCATACAGTGTAAGGCCAGGTTGTATTGTGAAGAGTGAATTCTCCATTTTTGCCACCAATGCCACTGAAAAGGAAGCGGTTTAGACTAAATGACGAGCTTGCATTTACTTTAAAAATGGTAAATGTACACAGTGTGTTAAAGTAGAATGATTATTTTATACCCACAAGAACGACTTGAAACAATACAAAGCAATACAACATTTAAATCTACACAGAAGATCATCGCTAATAATAATGTCCATACATTAGACATTATTAATATTGTTGTTATTGTAGAAATATAATAATAATAATAATAATAATAATAATGATAACTTCCATATTTAGTGAACAATCATGACAGTATATACAGTATGATTATTTTAGTTTAATCTTTACAATCTTTTAATCTTTTTTTTTTTGTACTCTGAATATTCAATCCAAATTGTATTAGTAATTTACTGAAGCAATATTATTTATTTATTGATAATTTTAGAAATAATACAGAATTGCAAATATATCAATATTATCATTTAAATGTGTTTCAAGGACATAGCACACATGGTCTTAATACTTCTGTATTGACTTTGGAGTTAACGTTATATCAGCTCTTAAAAATATCTAAAAGGGAGGCGGGTTGAAATATGTGTTTGCATGCTCAGCATGCTACAGAGTTATAATAAGCACTGGGACATGTCTTTATCTCTAAATGGGTTATAATGTGATAAGCTAAACTAGACCCTCAAAAATCCCTACCAAGTGCAACCGCGGGTGGGGGACCTCAATTGCTTCAGTTCATTCTCCCTTTTCCCTGGTATTTTCTTCTTCTCTGTTCAGGTTATTAGCCGCTACATTACTGGATTGGCCGAAAATGAACCGAACAGAACCAGATAGGGGCTGTGAATAGCGGGAGGGACTTTTCTTTTTCCAATTGTTGTTATTTGCAAATGGTCTTATTGTGTAGAGGTGTTGGAGAGGAGGGGGCGCTAGTGAGGAAAAATGGCAGAGGGTATTTTAAAACGCTGACAAAAAGATGAGAGAAAAAAGAACACAACATCTGGTAATTTGTTTCAGCAAGCTTAGCCTAATGATGTAAGCAGATTACTTTCCAACAGAGTGGGAAAGGGGCATAGAGGTTGTTTTTTTTTCCCCTTATGGGTCTGCCCTGTTAAAGAGTGAGACAGAAGCCACCGCCATATACACCATTAGTTCATATTGGTGACTCTTTGTGTGCTTTCCAGTGCCTTTTGATAATTCACATGCTCAAGAAGTGGATTTCTGATCAGATCAGAAAATCGCTGCTTATTTTGCACGCTATTTTAGCAGCTATAAAAGGGGAACCTCCCCGACTATCTGAGGTGGGGGTGTAAGTCACTCCATGCCGTGGGTGCCCCCGGCCCGATTTGCTCCCTCTCCTCAGAGAGCAGGGATCAGTGGTATGCCCAGATTGAAAGGGAGGGCAGGAACCCGGCGTGATGAAGGACACTGGCTCCCTGTCAATGTGTGGAGGAGACTGGAGGATGAAACACACCATTAAGACCAATTTAGAGTGTTGCTCTAAATTTCAGCAGGACTGATCGATCCTGACAGGAGGGCATCGTACCGCCTGCCAGATCACTTAAACCACTGCCCCTTGTCTCACGTTGCTTAATGTCATGTCATTGGCTATCATTCCCAGTCGAACACTGAGCTGCTGTATTTCGTTTCAATTACTACTTGTAGGATTACCTTTTTATTTTTACACATCAGTAATCAATGAGGATTTTGATAATAATGTCATAATGCAATCTCTGTATTGCATTCTGTCCTTTTTTTCTCTATTCTTAATCCAAAGTGAAATCCTCTGAGACTCGTTGTCCTGTTGGTTTATTGATTTTTTTTTTTCCCTTGCTCGGTAAACATTGGACAGAAACTTGAGAACCAAGGTACAGAAAAAAAACTATTCCTTACTCAAGGGTTTAACCATGATCAGAAAGGTATTCACAAGGTAATAACAAATGATAATGCCATTTAATTATAGAACTCAAAGTGCTTCACAGAGTAAAACAAGAAAGATATCCCAAAATCTGACAAAAAAATGAAATGAAAAAGCTAAACCAATTTATAATAACTAAACAGTCTCAGTAACAAAGGAGGAATAAAACCTATTAAGATTAATGATGACACATAAAACTAATCAACGTAAATAACAAAGTAAGATGAGAATAAATAACCCCTCAAAATCAGTGTTGATTCTGTACCAGTAATGTATTTAATGCACATATATAAGGAAACATATGCAGCTGTATGTACATCCAGATTGCGAATGTTGTGATATATGCAGAGTCCTAGCATACGCGGTGTGTTATTATTGTTGTGCTGCTATCTGCCGGCGCTGTGCTGACATTTTATATGCCATCTATTTATTAGTTGGGATGTTCATTGAGGCAGCTCAGGTTAAGTATCTTGCTCAGTGTCTGACTGGAGATATTGAACCTGCAGTCCTCTTGTACCAAGTTCAGTTCCCTAACCACAACCAGTTTGCCCCTTTGAAGGATGAGGTCTCGGCAAGAGTGGTGCTATGTATACCACACAGACAGTGATCTATTCCGTGTCTGATATCATGTTGCTCCATGTCACTGACTGATGTTACCTGCATCCCCCCGTGATGATTAGATCCATGACTGCGCCTACAGTTCCCTTATAAAATCAGTTCCTTTCTTTTAACCCACAAGACGCTGAGTCCCCTATCGGAGAGAAAAGAGCGAGCGGGTGAATGAGTGAGGGGGAAAGAAAAGGTAAAGTTATTTTAAAGGCTGATATTGCTTCATTGTGTGCTGTCATTCCATCCTTGACAAATGTTCCTCATCTGAGTTGGTGTCATGCTCCACTGTATAAATGGGTTATGAGCTTGAATATAAGTTATGTAAGTTGCAATGCTTTGAGACATCTGCTAAGCACATTCATATGTAATGGCACATAATGTAATAAAAATAATGGAGGAAACATAGAAGATTTATCTCCCATTATAAAGCAGCCATGCTCTGCTTTATTGCAACCTTCCACCTGCACCCTGAAACAGGTTTTGAAATAGAGAGCTCTCCTTGGCTGCGAAATTATCAAACTCAACTTATTCACACCATGAAGGGTCTGCACACTTGTTACCCTTAAAAGCATTTTAAATATTTTTTTCTTTATGATGGCTTTTATGACTAGTGTTTGCAAAACAAAACATTAAAATATGGTTTCTCCACATCTATAGACCAACTATAAGTAAGTTAAATAAGACTTGTGAATTTTCTGCTTTTAAATGTAGGATTAAATGGGTAACTGGGCAAGTTATTATTTTTAAATGACATGATTAATGCTGTCAGAAATAGACAAATATTTTTAGAATCAATCAAAACATCAAAAGGTATGTATCAAGTAGTCTAGTGTAAAAATATTCAGATATTGAGCCTGAAATATGATCTGGTCTCTATGATGAGGGGAGTGAACTAGTAGAAGATTGTTCCTTTAATGATTTGCACGGTGTGTATCTTCAGGGGCTTTCTGTGCCACCAGCTGAGGCGTTAATACAAATATAGCAGATCATTTGTGAACTAACCTGTTTTTAAGTGGCTTTCTCCAAAAGTGTGACAGGCAGGTGGGGAAACATGGCAGAAGTAATTAGATATTTGCTGTTATTGAACCATCCTGAGAATTCAGATTTTTCAGGTGACGCAACTTTTAAAATCTGAAGATTCTGATGTTGGTTCATCTATCCAGCCATCCATTTGTGTCTTACAATTGCTATAAAATTAAAACAACTCACTCTACAAAAAGAACATCTCGTTAAATAATCTCATTAGCTTTAGCTGCTTTCTTTTAAAAAAAATAAATAGTCGGGCAATTGATAAAGTCTAAGCTCCACCTTCGCCGCCTCTCCATTTTGTAATCACAGGCAGTTTGGCAGCACAACGTAATTAGTTTGCACGCCAGATTTCCCATGAGTCCCAACCTAGCTCAAAGCCAATCCCTTCCTCATCAGCAGCCCAGAGACTAAACACCTACTTTATCTGGTTCCCCCAAGGCTGTCCATCCATGGGGAGTCAGGGTGCCCTCAAAAACATTGCCAATGAGGGCTCCAATGCCTCAGGCTGATATGGGTGAAACTTCAGATGGCAGATGGCAGAAGGAAGGAAAAGGACCATATCTTTGAGGTAGAACTGCCAAACAAAAGTGGAACATCATATCCTAGAGCCTTACGTCCCAGGGCTGAGATTAAAGCATGAAATATATGTTTAGATGAGCCACAAATGTCTTCATATCAAAAACTGTAAGTGATCAAAGTGTCTGATGTGTGGAGGCATGCTGCAGGGTATTTTTGTATGTATTCACCAGTTGACAGTAGCTGAGGAAATGTTTCACAGCTTGTTCAAATGTCATCATTGATAAAGAGGACAGCTGAAGTTGAGTTTAATTTATTACAGCTGCTATCTGTTGTAGAATAAGGTAGTGCTACGGTGCATGTGCTTTGCTTTATATCATACGTGTATCAGTATCACACTAGATCTCTACATCTTATATTCGTTGTGACCGAGTGCTGTGTTTGAAAGAAATGGTGAAGGACAGTATTTATTTTTTTCTCAATCTTATCCAGTTCACTCTTTTCATTTTAAGTATTTGTACACATCTGAATTACCTCTTGCCAGTCAACAGCAAGAAGTGATCGGGCAGTTTTTAATACCACTAGGCCCATCTGGGAGAAGGACCCTTTTCATTCGACATACTTGGCTGCTTGTCGCCTCACCATAATGGGCACGTTGAACGAGCTCTGAAGCAATAGCCAATTAAATGCCTTGAAGGGGATGCCTCGAGGCCCTGCATGAAAGGCTTCAGGTGTGAAATGCTTGTTTTTCAAGAGTGCTGCAAATGTTGGCTGCTTTCAAGTTTGCTATTGCCCTGCTGGCTTCCCCTTCCAGCCCACCCCAGCAGCCCTTCTCATGTGGAGGAGGGTAGAGGGTAGAGGTGATGGGCAAGAGAAGACCACTTAAGTACAATTTTCTATTCAGTGTTCCAAACCTGTGCACTCTCGTGTTTTTCACCGCTGCCTCGTAACGGCGAACAGAGTTTCAGATGATGCAGACAATAGCTTTTTAGCGTACAATAGAGAGAAGAGGAGAAGCTGAAGGGCAGACAGGGGGATATGTGGATGAGACAGAAAGTCTGTGCGTGAATCCAAACCGGAGGCTGTGGTGATTGGGTGATGGCCGTGGTTTGCTGGGAGGAGGCTTAAAAGGAGATGGATTGTTTGCTAATTGTGGTCATTGCTGACCAGAACATGACAGGTTCAATGACTACTTTTAATACGTTATTGAATACAACAGAACCTTGAAACGCAATTGTGAGAAAAGCAAGAATGTTAATAGTTCAAGTGTAAGAACAGGCTGCCTTGTCTTTGTGCAATAAAACATCTATGTCTGAAGTGTTAAATCCAGTCTGGATTGAAGTATTTATTTAAACCGCTATATTTCTACTCTCAATTCTTACAACATAGAAGTTGAGAAACAGTCTTAGATCATTGAGGAGTACCATTAAAAGATGCCTGTGCGGGACTAAGAGGGAATAAATCCAGGGGATATTAATCTTATTAGGATCATACATCACTGTGGTGTTTGGTGAGGAGACAAATGAATAGGCGCCTGTTTATCTGAGCTAAGCTATGTGGTTTACCTAACCATCACTCAGGGCACATATTGCCACTAATAAATTGGTTAAGTCTGAGCAGAGTGATTGTAATGAAGTTAAGGGACTGGCTTGTCCGAGCTCTCGCCACTACAGCCAGCTATTCTCGCTTCCCTCTTTTTATCTGTCCAGATTGGGAGAGCCCTTTCGATAAGATGAAGAGAGGAGGAATCAAAATAAATGGAGTCCATTACAAGCAGCAATGCATCAACTGCTTGATAAAGTGATTAATAAACAGGCTGGGATTGTGATTGATTAAAGCATTTAATCAAACTGTTAAAAAGCCCTATTGGCAATGGTGCATAAATGCCCTGCACGGTTTAAATGTATAAAACGCTACATAACCATTGTTTTTTCTTTCAAAAATATTACAAACCTGTGTTTGTCTGAGGCATACGAAACCATGTTTTATATGGTTCAGAAAAGTACTCGCTTCTCTTTTTTTACACAATTAATGATAAGTGTGCACTCATATGTAGAACATTGTGTTTCTCGCAAATCTTAGCCCATTTTTTTTCAAATTTAAACAAAAGAGCAGTGATTGACTTAACATGTACTCATTAAAGATGTTTTAAAAAGGGCTAGATACGCTTGCATTAGACCTCCAAACAGTGAGTAATCAATGACTAAAATCACTTGCAATTCCAAGGCAGTGGGTGAGTGGGCAGTGACAGGCTGGTAATGTTTGTGAGACTGAAATGTCATTCAAATTCGCTAATGCAAAGGGAAATACATAGAGCAGATTGACACGTCGAGCTTGGTAAAGTTCAACCTTGATGTATAGCGCATTAAGATAGGAAATTACAGATGTTGTAATTATCAGAAATGACTGACCTTGTGCAAAAGAGTGCGAGGTTAAAGTACTTGTACTTTGCTTTTAAAATGTGTAGCACAAGAAAAGATTGGCGAGTATCTGTAAATGGCAGGCTTTTATTGAAATTCATGGGGCAAATGGGGAGAAAGCAATGTTCAGAATCATTTTCACATTCAGAAGAAAGGTATAATGAGCTGCAGAGTTGGAGAGAGGGTGCATTTAGTTCTGCTTGTTATTTTCATAGTTGAAAATGATCAGTTTACATTTACCACATGAATTCACATGGGAGCATTGTTTCACCATATGTCGATATATAAAACACAGATACATAAATGCACTATGCCCCATCTTTGAGGCATGCCTGAGCTTTTCCAATAATAACCTACAAGTATAACAGCCAGTGTGAAAGAGGTAAAATACCAGAGTTGGCTACAGGAGTCTATGGCAAGAGTTTGTTGCAGGGGAAAGTCTAGAGGCTAAATCGCTGGTGGAAGTAATGCACACACAATTTCAGAGGTTTGAATCCAGCTCACAACAGTCATTGACTCTTTATCATGTCACTGTAAAAGTACCAGCAGTAGTAGAAAGTAATAAGTACATTTTTTCTGATTTGTAACTACATTTTGAGGTACTTGTAGTTTACTTCCATAATAGTATTTCCATTCTATGCTAGTGTATACATCTACTCCACTACATTTCAGAGGGAAATATTGTACTTATGATGTATTACTTTACATGAAACTACCCAACAATCTAAGTTATTTTTTTTAATCGTTGTACTTCATCCAGCTAAAAAAGCATTAAAATAGTTATGTGTTATTGCATGAGCAACAACAATCACATTGTTTAATATTTATAAATAAAACAATGCAGGGTTCATTCTGTGTTCATAATGTTGTTTTTGATAGCTCAAGTATGTTTTGCTGACTTTCGTTTAAGTAACTTTTTTGAATGTAGGACTTTTACAGTGTGATATTTCTACAGAATGAAGGATCTGAATACCTCTTCCAACACTGAGTACCAGTATATCAAATTGTCTTTGTCTGTACTGTACTATGTTGAGCCAACAACTTCACTAAAGCAAGGACAGGGCCAGTTCTTCCAGTGGGCATTTTGGAAGTCTACTGACTGCTACAGTAAAGCCAACGTTGTTAAACCTGCGTTCTCATATCTGTGTCAACCTGAAGCTATAAAGGCAAACACCAGACATGCAAGCGCCCACAATGCAATGTTTTGTGCAAATGATTGCATGCGTTTCTTTATCCTTTGCCTTGGGAAGATCCATTAGTAACAGTCTTTTGTGTTTTTAGAGTAATAATCATTTGACACTACGTTGAAATAACTAGATACAGTATGTGCTATTTAATCTGAAGTCTCTTTCAAATGAATAGGAGTCAAATTAATGACACATGAATGACTTGTTAATTATGCAAATGGGGTGCCGCAGGAACCTGGTAAGTTGCGGGAACTCTGTCATCTAAAAGGGTATGGTGAGTGTGATAGTGTAGCGGCTTGGCACAGCTCACTTGATGTAATGACAGGTCAATTTGACTGGCTTTATGCTCTGCACCCTGGTTCCTTTCTGGTCTGCTCTGGTGTGGCTGCCCCAGCCGCCTCCCCCACCCCCCTCTCTCGTGTCCCTTGGACTTTGATTTCTCCTTTGTTCCATTGGCTCCTCTACTGACACTTCCCAAGAATAAGAGATGCCACGCAACCATGGCCCTTTCACACCAGACCGATGACCTCTGTCTCTTCCATGCATGACCTCTCACCTAGAAGCTGACAGCTTGATTAATTGAAGAATGTTATGATTTATGAGTATCTTCTCAGCATGATTAACAAGGCAACAGGTGGCACAACCAAACAGCTAGCAAGAACATTACTTAGAGGGGAGAAAACAATGGAGGATTATATTTAGAAACCATGTTTTGTCCAACAGTGACCGTCAATTTGGTTAAGCCATATATCATTTTGACTTTTTTGTCTACCACTGCAGTTAGGATATCTTCACATAGAGGTTTCTTTTGTGTCCAACTTGTCAGCCCAGTCAGACTTGCAGGAAGATGTCACATCACAACAATGTGGTTAAGCATAAAGCTCATCCAGTGTTCCGATTATCAACTCACCATGTATTCAGTGCAAAGTTTGCAGTTGCATATGAAGAAGGGAAGTCTAAAAATCCAGCAAAAGAAAGTAGGTTGTATAATGTTTAACACAAAGAAATCATTTTCAAGTTGACGTCTATACTGTATCTGCATGGCTCTCTCTGCATGTGATTACTGCTGACTCTGTGTTAATGCTTGAGTCTGCACAGCGATGAGTGTCATTTGGAGAGCAGCATGTAAGAGGAAACGGTGTCAGTCGTGACACAGGGCCACATCCAATTGTCTACCCAAAGCTCTGCGAGTTAACTCACCTGACAGCTCCCTCGATAAGTCTGTCTTGTAGTTGAGACACTTAACTGCGTAATGGAAGTTGGTGGTCTAACTCAGGTGACAAGGGGATGGGAGTGTTGAAGAGGTCACATGAGACCTTCTCATCGACTAAGTCAGTCACAGAGAAGGACTATAGAGTGGGATAGCAGTCTCTTGACACAGTGTCATCAGCAGACTGTCCAACTGAGCAAAAGCGCATGGTAAGATGTGGCCTTTTCCTTTGACATGGATTTGTTTTGACCTCGGCTTCAGGCGGTGACAACTGATGGGTGATTGATGGTGCTGTTTCAGCAGTGTCAGTGGAAAAGCCAGGCTCCTCGGAGAACATTTCTCTGACCCACAGTGACCTGGCTCTAACTTGTGTTGGACAACAAAAGATGGTCACCTACAGTTAGTGCCTGTCTTCTTTCCCTTGCCTGATTGTTTTCCAAGAAAGTCTTTGGTTTTTTTTCAAATAGCAAAAGCAGTGCAAACTGCAATAGTGGCTGTTTTATATTTCCAGATTAACTTTACTCTTTGCAGGCTTGTATGGCTTTCAGTTTTGTTGTTGTCCTGCTTGTTGCAAGTCACTAACTATTATAGTAAGACTCGGATACATTTTACACTTGTAATGCTCAAAAAAACCCTGCACCATGTGAAGTTGCAGTGACTGATAGCTACTGGGTAAAGACACGTTGGAGTGCTGTGTTTACAAAGAATCGCCATCAATGAAAAATTAATTATCTGTGAGTCAGCAAAGGTTAATTCTGGTCAGAAACCTTTCGATCCGGAGGAGCTGACCCCGGCAGTGCTGGTCGACGCACTTGTGCATAGCTGAGGTGACACATGCAGTGACCTGTGACATGGGCAGTGACAGCAGAGTAAACTGGGCCATGCTCCCCTGCCTCACTGTGCCTGGAGAGCTTAGAGGGCTCCCAGCTGAGCGGAGCAGGTTAAAGCGCAGCGCTGCTCCCGTGTCACCAGACCAGCCCGTGATCAGTAGCTCCGTCTTCAGCAAACACTCCCCAGTCCTGCCACCCACCTCTGTTGTCTCCTAGAGACAGTGCTACCCACCGCTGGTTGCCCCATATGTTTGGGCTGCACACAAGGTGGTTTCTCGGATACTGTGGTTGCTAATTATAAATTTAATTTGCATTTTAATTAGAATGGTGGAAAATTAAAGCCTGCCAGCTGGAGAATTTCAAAACGCTTTCCCTCCCTCCTTTTTTGTCTCTCCCTCCTCTCTCCTAGTTTAAACTTAGCATGACTCTGTCCTTTATTTGTATGAGAACAGCAGTAGGACCTCCTCGGTGTGGGACAGGGTGGTGTATCTTCTGAATCATTCTTTCTTTAGAGTAGTGTTTGATAAGTTTCTATATGTGTGGTGAAAATTCCCATGTTCAACCATATCTTTCCTAATTAAATCATTTATGGCTCATTTGACACCTCCCATAATGTAGTTAAGCTCATAAAACTCATTGATATTTTATGGGAATCCTAATAAGTCATTGAATGTCTTCTTCTTCTGTGGTTTGATTAGTTAAACAAGGCCCAATTCCCTGTCATGGTGCTCAATTGACACACTTTACACATGCTGGGAAGTAAGTGATCTGTATGTGTGGGCTGGTAATATCATTCAGTTTTGGTTATTATTTTCCAATCTCCATAATTCGTCCCGTTCCCCATGTTGTTCCCCCATGGTCATTCTCATTCCCTCTATTACCACCCACGGGCGTCCTTGCTCAATAATTGTCATTAATTGATTGACAGCTCTGATAGACCCAACTAACCCCAGTTCTGCTCTCATGTCCATGTTTTAAATGAGAGCTTGTACATCCAGTGACCTTGTCTGCCCATCAACTGTCAGTGAATGTGAAGCCAATCCAGGGAATGTCTCACCTTAGCAAAGTAGACCGTCCTAAATGATTGTAATTGGTTTGTGGATCTATCTTGAGTTGTACTGTGTTGTGCATGGTAAAATCTGGTTAAAGTTTGGTTTAGTTTAAAGTGAATGTGTTATCTAAAGCATGCATTTGTCATTACAATCCCAGTTATCCTTGTCCCTTTTAATCTCATTTCTATCACACCAGGTTGTGTTTTCATGTGCTTGAGCAAACCAAGACTGCCATTCAAGTTAACAGAATTCAAAGATGTGCTTTTAATCCTGGAAACCCATCACAGCAAGACGTCATCTTATTGTGTAATTTCTCTAAATCCATGTCAAATTATGTTAATAAGAATGTAGTTACTTTCAACTAAAAAAACATAAGCCCTATTTTTCTTTGACAGGAATCCAAAAAATATCAATGCGTTTAGTCATGTGTTGACTGGATATTTTTTTTATATTTGGCTTTAAAAATGTAAAGAGTTAAGCATTTCCTAACACAAACATTAACAGTTTTCTAGGACTCCGCTCCACCTTTTTGCGGCAGCTGAACTATTGTTAATATAGGCTCTATAATAATGTTTTCTCTACAATAGTCCATGCGTACACTGTGTCCTAGGCACATGTAATGTCTGACATTCTTCCAGGTTGTTTTGGTTTGGGAGGCTGCCAGCCCCAGTTTTGCACCTCTTTGCAGGCCCAGTTTGATGTGGTGTGAATAACATTCAGACATACACACACGCCCTCATTAGCATTCATTCAGGGAAGTAATGCAGGACACCCTCTCTGCTCTGAGGGTGGCATTTGGCAAGGGCCAAATACACCTGGCAAAAAACCTCTATCTTACTCCGTCCCATCATGTTCATCACATTGAGTTTTCCATCATGCACTCAAAAACAGTCCAGAACATCTTTGTTTAAAGCGGATTACTTGACAATAGAGGAAACACATCCATTTATATCACGCTATAGTAAGCTACGATTGCTTCTTTATACTGTCAAATTGCATATAAATGCCGTAGACAATAGAATTCATATCAAAGTCTTTGATGTGATGCATTTGGGAAAATCTGTGTAAAGCTGCAATTAGACTACTGATTAATTTAAAAGAATGAAAGCACAAGAGAACAGTCCATTCAGTGACCCTCAGAAGTCTGGCATGCAGCAGCTTCTCCCTCTAAGGCATGGATCCATCAGCCTTAGTCTGGAGCAACAGTGGCTATCTAAAAAAGGCTTGGCAGGAGGAGGAAGGCGGGCATTCTCCAGATCTGAATCTGTGGACTGCTGTGTTTGTTACTCTGTAAAACAATTTCTCTGTCTAGCCTTGTAAGACACATCCATTCTGCTACTTGAACTTTAGCGTTATTGTTCAGATATGTTGTAGTATCATTGATGGTAAAACTCCATGTTGATCTTTAGATGATGGAAGCTCTTCAAAGGTGCTTTCACTAGTTTGCTAAGTTTGGTAAGCAAGAGTAAGAATAGAAGCTCTGGCAATTAAAGTTTTAGAAAAAGTTGGTTAAAAAAACCCCGTTATAAACGCGTATAGAAATCTAGTGAATAATATTCCTTTTGCTGAAAAAATTGTCTTGGCAGCTGGCTATTCAAGACCCCTTTTAGATTTATCTTTGTCAATTGTCAAATATTTGAGTGTATGAAGTGGTGTGATGAGGTGCAGAGACAGATATTTGAAGGGATTTTAACTCATTTGAGCAATTACATGCTTAACTGGCCCAAGATAATCTGTCATCCAAAGCTTCTGTCTCGGGCTCTCCCTCTCTTTTCCAATCCTCCACTCTCTCATACCCTCCTACGTGGCACAAGAGAAGCTCAGAATAGTGGGATTTAGAGCACAAAAGCTTATCCTGAATGGAATGAAGGCCTCGGAGAAATTAATTGCTTCTAACAAACAGCATGACTGCTAGCATGTTTTGTGTCCCATTCTTATCAGCCTCCAGAGGTAGAGGGGCGGGCGACCGGTCTGGAAAGGGTGAACCTACAAACGGGGGAAGTGGGTTACAGGAATTTGTGTTTACATTATTTGAATGTTATTCAAGGATGGATGGCAGCAAAGGCTTAATGCAGGGTATTTGTATAGGCATGTGTCACGCGGAGCATGTGATCTCCCCAGTTGTTGCATCTGAATGAAGCATTACATTTGACATCAGGAAAGCAATACAGGTGATCAGAACAAACACTGGAGACATGTTGCTAAATATACTGTATATTTAAATGTCCATATAGTGTGCCTGAAATAGAAAAACGTGTCTTTGCATGGCTACAAGTTGTCTTCTAGGAGAAACAGGATATTATATCCATTTCAGTTTATGCACTGCATCAGGACAAGAACTTTGTTTAAAGGTTAAATGTCCAAGAATCATTACAGAAATTAAGTATATATGTTTTAAAAAAAAAGGTATATATCTGAATATCCTTGTATAGCAAAACAGCCTGTAAATCATGTATTTACCCATTAATTTACAAGAAAACATCTCTAGTAATTAATGAACTATATATATTTGGAGAGCATTCAGGGAAGCATTAGCTCAGGCAGTTATGGGATTTACTTGTGAGGGTGTATGGCATATTTGCCCCAGTTCTGTTCTCTGCTTGCTCCCACTCCCACATGTCACCATTCTGTCCACCACCACCAGCGTGGCATCTATCATCCACCACAGACGCCGCGGCACCCCACAAAAGGAGGCTGGAGCATGCACAAAGACATTTGCATTTTTGCATCTCATTATGGTTATAATTGCATGCCAGTTTAAGCAGCTCGCTCTCCATTATCTCGCGTAATTTTATCAGTGACGTTTGAAACGTGTGTTTAAATGTCAATTATTGACTACAAAAAAGGAGTGACCTTCTTGGAGTCATCTCTCTCCCTCTATCTCACTCCACTCCTCCATCCCCTGTTTATCTCCCCCCCCCTCATTCTCTCTCTCTCTTTCTCTGTCTGTCTGTCTCTCTGTCTGTCTGTCCATGGTCTTGTTCATTCCTTATGTCTTATTTGGGTTCTCTCACTGTCATGCTAGCTATATGTTGAAGAACTTGGCTTATCACATTTGATGACAACTGTCAGTTGACATGCATGCTGTTAATATTGTTAATATACTCACTGTCAACAGCTTTTCTTAAGATCTCATTAAAACAACAGCTATAATTAAGAAAGTGTCTCAAACAATGACACAATGCACCACATCATCAGTGATAAGTAATGAACTCGGTACAAGCTTTACTTGTATTAAATGTATATGGGGATATGTTATATATGTTGGATCCATGCACCATGGCATTGCTGTCATCCAGTCATTGATAAGTGAATCAACAAAGTGATGGATTAATACGCCTAACTTTGAGCACCAGTGTTTAGTAATGAATATTTACAATATTTAGCTATATGGCAATAATTTGACATCATATTTGCTATTAGAAATTCATATGCATTTTCTATAAATCATATTAGAATATCAAACTGCACATTATATCGTGCTATACACAGAACAACCATTATTATAAAAACTTTTTAAAACATAAAAAGAATTCTCAAATATATTTATAGTCAGAAAACTATCTTGTAATAGTAATAGTTTTATTGATGTAGCAAAAGAATGTACAAGCCGTGTTGCCTTACACCACAGCACGAAAGAAATCGATGGGTGTGAACATTAGAAAGAACTGATAATGTGTAAATAAATTCCTTTTAGGACTTAAAAACGTCCCATTAAGTAACAGAACAGAGTGGTGTTTTTCTACAATTGCTAATGTGCACGATATCTAATCTGCTGCTCTTTTGAGAAAGAATTCCTTCTCCATTAGAGCCCTTTTGGTTGTGATATTCAGGATGTTGCATTATTACTCAATGGACAATCTGCCTAACCTCCAGCCATCATTGTAATTTCTGAAATCCTGTTTAACAATGGATACATTCTCACAAAATTGCATCTTATTATATTTAGGAAACGTACTTGTTAAAGTCAGCAGCCCTTCCTGCTTTGACAACTTTATACTTTATATACTTTAAGGAGAGAACTTTTCCTCATAATGTGAAAGTGTTTCTCAGATACTGTATACAATACAGTTTAGTGTTATTGATGTACTTCTAGTGCAGATATGGCATCAAGGAAGAGACAGGTTTCGTATACTAATGAATAATACAATATTTATTTGTTTTAAAAGATGTTGTTTTCCTTGCATACATAATGATATGAAAAATAGTTTTCCAAACTTCAGTTCAAGCTAAGATGTCCTAAATATATTTTTTTCAAAAGCTTTTGAAGATTGTAATTGATTTTGTTGTGTGTCCTTCTCTTTAATCTCCTCATTATATGAAAGGCCAGCCTTTGTTTTTCACCTGAAAATGAATAATAAATGAATAGAGACTCAAAACTCTTCATTACTTATGAATCCTGTATTTGAGTCATAATTGATGAATAGAGACATTGGAGGATATTCCACTTATAATAACTACACACTGCACAGTGAATACGGTTCAGTATAATGTATGGCAAAGTTGCATAGTGCTGCAGCAGAATGAGCATGTAATGAGATGACAACCGGAGGAACCACAATCTTTAGGAGTTTATCAAACTACTTGCACCTTCTAATTAAAGGAAGCACAACCCACCAGGACACATTTACATTTGATTTGATTTGAAGCAGAAAATGTCCCCATTAGAACCCTCCTCCCCATGAATATGACAGTAATTGCAGTCTCACTCTGTTGCTGTTGTCCTTCGCTAACACATTTAGCAAATTTACCTCGTACTGTAGGTTATTATTGTGCCATACAGTCTGGGGAATCAAATAAATCACTTAGGTTATCTTATTAATTAAGTCAAAATAAATTTGCTAGAGCCAATTTATTCTCTCCAAATACCATGGGATCCCTCACTGCAACTAATGGCATAGTCTGACATTTCATAGTCTTAACAAATAACCTAAAGTAATTCATTTAGAATGTTCCAATTAGAGATCATTTCTTGTGGCTGTAGCATAGTACACACACATGAATTTGCATTGTAAGTTGAGCAGATGGTGTCAGACTATTGTTGTGTTTTCTTTTGAAATCCTACTAGCGGTCTTAATTATGAACCGGGGCTTTTTAAAGAAATGTTATCTCCCATATAGAATTTTTAACTCTAGCTATAACTGCATCAAAGTATCGGGCAGCAGTAACAGCTAATTTGTATCATGAGCTGAATAGTTATTATATTGTTCCATATACCACACGTTTACTCCGAGAGGATTTGTCACTTTCTTCACTGATAAACACATTAGTAATTTAGCAAGTGTTCCACCAGTAACAGCCCAAAGCAGACGACGAGACCTAGAGCGAGTGTGTAGCAGGCATACGACAGTGCTGAACCTCAGTGCCCCTGCCCTCACCCGCCCCTCAGGCCCTCAGTGGAATAACACTTGATCCACGGCTCTTGAGTCTCTGTCCACGCCTCCCTTTTATGGCCTGTGGGCATGTGAAGACCCCGAGCCAGCCGTGCTTATCTGACCCTAACCTTGGCGTATGGTGACCTTGACCTGCACCTCACCCCTTCCTCATCCTCAGGGCTACATCTGTTCCTTTCCCTAGGACACCCAAGTAGTTAGTGATATTGAAACATCACCTTGGGGCTCCATTTGTTTTCTCTGGAGAGGTCAGTGAGGGGTTGTCATTAGGACTGAACTTGATCCCCTGCTTCCCCATAAATTGGTCCGTCCGTGCAAGGAGTGAGCACACTGTAAATAATGAGCGTGTAATGCTGAACATGAAACACTATCTCAAAACTGACACTCTATACTTTCCCTTTTTACATTACATAGATGCATTTGCTTCTAGTCAAATGTGTTCATGATGCCAGAGCAAAACTACAATCCACAAACATATCTGAGGCAAACAGTGTTTCTTGGTGTAACAATTGTTTGTGAAACAAAAGAAGCCTGCATTTGAAACTTTTCTTTTATATGAATAGTTAAGCCTAACAAAAAAAAAAAACCCACACAGTTGTCACTTTTCTCATTAAGTAATTGTAGCCACTTAAAATGTAACCTCACCTAAAATGAAGCATACATTGCGTCAGCCTCACAATTGTGTTGGGTGTTGTCATTTCAACTCATTGGTTTGTCCCAGGGTGCTATCTTGATTGTGATGCCCTTCATTATTTTGATTAGTGTTTCGCAGTTCTGTGAATTGGCTGACCTTTTCCAGAGTATTACCTTTATTCTCTCCTGCAGAAAAAAGCATCATTGCCGTGCGGCTATGCCATGGAAGATGGAGTTGGTATTAATATTAATGAACATGCACTGACAATGTCAGGTTTTAATGGATAATAAATTAAAGGATTCTTATTGATAATTAACTGTGTGTGGGCAATAAACAACCAAGGCAGGATGCCGTCTTTGTTAGCAAAGATATTTTAATAAATCATAAGAGGGAGATAAAATGGTTTATTCTTTCCTGTCGTGGAGATCAAATTCATGCCACACAACCCGTAAAGGAAAGATGCATTTGGGAAATTAAGGGGAAGAAAGAAGGCCACATAACGTATCATATCGCGTTCGCTAAGTACGTGAAAATGTATTTTCCTTCTCTATCAGTCTCATGGTATCATATCACACTGGAGTCAAGGGGGAGGCTAAAGGTTACAACTCTGAAACATGGCATTGATCCTAACACCTGACAGCATCCCTCTCTTTGTTTCTCACCGTCTCATTCTGTTCTTTGTAATTATAACACACGGCATTTTCCCCTTTTGTTACTCTTCTTTTCATTGTTAAATAAAACAAACCAAGAAAAAATAATAACATGATTGTTCCCTAGATTTAATGTATCTCTGTGGTGTTATCAAAGACAGTAGTTTAGGAGAAATTACTCTTTTATCTTATTCTCTCTATTATATCGGCCGAGACTGCTGAAACCAAAGGTGTTGTCGAGCCTGGTGTGCTCTGCATGTCATAAATCAGACCTAACTGACGTTTTTTTAAAGAAAATGAATATCCACCCACTCTCTGTGGAAGGGCCATGGTATTTGTATGGTCAATGTGACCTTTCTCCATACCCTCTCAGATTAGGTGTACGACATAGAAAATTGCGTTCTTGCTGCAGTCCATAAATCATACCAGGCCATTTTTTTTCTTTAAAGAGGTATGTAAATACCAGTGTACTAGCTAGGTAAACAACACTAACCCT